GTAAACTACACAGGTAGAAGCGGTCAGCTGCATGATGCTCGTGAAGGGGGAGTATTGCGTTCTATTGTGAATCCTCACTGCGCAGCCACATGTCGGTTCCTTTTGAGCACCACCTGGAACACTGTGGAGGTGATGCCATAAGTAAGAAGACCAAACACACACACGGTACCTTATACATAAGCTTAAGATAACTGGAAGACAAAGTACACTTTCTTTTTTACTTCTAACTGATCAGGCCCCACCACAATTCCAAAGCGTTCTGCACCAGTTGTGCTTCAGCATATCCTTCGTGATCAGACCAGCTTGTACCAAGCTAAGATGTACTCTGGCAGCATCATCACGTGACGTCACAATGATGTCTGAGTTTAGTGCCAATTTTTAGTGCCAAGGTCATCATTGTGACGTAGTAACGTGACGTAAGCACGTAATGACGAATCGCGAATCACTCCTTCCCCACGCCACGTAATGCTGGCGCCAATAGCCGAAATTATCACGTGATGAATCGCACATATGGCTTTCACCTTAATAAGGTTCACAACGAAGTTATAAAACTAGTGCCACTTCACAAACACTGCTGAGAGAGAATTGTGCACATAGTTTTGGGGCGCAGTGTACCTGCATACTGCCTTACCTCACCTCCCCTTCCGACTGTGACATTAGTATTGCGTAAGAATCTCGCCCGATTTTCCACTTCGTGTATGTTTTCATCAACCTGTGTTGTTGAGATATATGTCCATGCGTTGTGAGCTTAAGGTACTAACATCACGTGCGGTGAGTAAGCGCAAGGCAGAGTAAGCTTTTTGTTACTTCAGAAAAATTTTTTTGTCGAATATTCAGTAATCTATATTGAATCAATAGGATCCTTTTGTACCCATATTATTGAGAGACTGTGTAGTTAGGTTACGACACTTTGTGCCACCGTTAGGTTTCTGTACAATTATTACCTCCGACAAACTTTTAGAGCATAATATATTTTATTTCAAAACACCTTTTCGATGTGTGGATACAATCGCACTAGAAGTCCTTGGTTAAGCGAAGTGGCAGGTGCCGCAATTGTGTTGTAAGCTACTCCAACGATCGCGCCCATCATATAGCGAAGTAACAATTCCTAGCGCTAATTTATACCTACAAAGACATTATATATTCTTGTGGAAACGTTTTGTATTTGCACCTTCAAGAAGTTCATTTTAACTGTACTTTTCCTCGCGGCCAGCACATGGAAAGGCAGTCCGCCTTCAATACATCAAGACAAAAGTTCTACCTTACAGACACTGCCCACACCAGTTCAACAACTCGCGCCACACCTTCAACCGTTCTGAAATGATATGCACAGATGCAAATGCCATGGGAACTTGTCTGGTAAGCAGCACGAATTTATAATAAAGTTTTACAAGCGCAACACGTGTAACCTGATCCAAATGGCTCCAAAATATGAGAACAGAGTGTTTTAACTTAGCTTGCGTTGAGGAAAATTAATTGATTTCAAGACAATAAAACAGCATTGTTGTTTTTTTTTCGACGCAAATGGTAGCATTAGCGTGAGTCTGTGTTAGGACATCTGTTCGCTACGCAGGCGACCTTTAACAAAATTCTCATTCAACCAAAATATTTTTATTGTTTATATTTTATTCTTTAGGGCAATCATTGTAAACCATGCCAGTAACTAATGCTATAGCCACTGCTGGTACTACGTCAGTAAGCATACCAAGTCCGCCTTGTTGCAAGTTGGCGCTGTGAATATCAGTACTCTTGCTTGGTGCCTGAACACACATATTACCCCAAGGCTATTCCTGAATGTTTTACGGTGTACGGGCAATGAATGCTGACAGATGCTCTATAGCTTCGAGCTTCACGCTGCCCGCTCCTACATTTAAATACTAATGTAACAACTACGTTGACATTTTATCTTATAGCCTGCATGGTGCACTACTTTATACAAATATTTCATTGCTGTAGGCAGGCGTAACAATTTTTATGTCTGAGCTAAGGGCAGACTACTACAGTGAGTTGTTAACGGAATAAAACTGATACAGATATTCTATGTTAGTTGAAGGTTGCGAAGCCGCCTTAGTCTATTAGGGAACACTACTAATGCTTTCTGTCGATTGCGTAATCTTGGACCAATATTTAGACTGATATCTTGGCCCACAAGTGGGCCACTATTTTGTGGTACTTTCTTTTGTCGCTAAACGTGCTTTTAGTCGACGTATTTTATTCCAGAAAAAAAAAACTATTTTCAATGCGATCACTGACTTCCATTATAGCTAATGATTCCCAATTTTGTGGCATCGATAGTCGGGATTTTCACGAAAGCGTAGAGTAACGATGAAATAGTAGCGGTTTCACAAGTAGATGATTTATTACGCAACAGAGGTCAATGCACTCTAGTATTGTCAAAACGTGGGGTGATCACGTAGATATTATGTTCTCTTCAGGAATAATTAGATAGCTTTTTTATTTACGAATAGCAGCACACTGTCTAAGAAATCAAAAAAGGCCACTGGCTGGCCTACGGGTATCAATAAGAATCCGCAACTATTGTCTTTTGTTTTTAATGCACAAAACATCATAAACATTTGTTGGTACCCTATATTCTAGAAGGATATCATAACCAACTAAAGAAGTGAAAATCGGAACGCCTGTCACCTCTGCCTTCCACGCAAGCCCTATTGAAATGCTCGCATACTTGATGTGCGTAGTACTCTGAATGGTCACTGATTGATATGCGTGGTTTAACGTCCCGAAACCACCATATGTATATGCGAGGCGCCGCAAGGGAGTGATCCGCAAATTTCGACCACCTGGGGTTTTTAACGTGCACCCTACACTGAGCACATGGGCCTACAGCATCTGAGTGATCTTCATACCAGGGCTTAAGTAACATCAAACCTTCAAGCACACATAATTCAGTGAGCACTCTGACTTCATTCATGTTATAAGTGGTTGTGAATTGAGACGCCCAATGTCCTTGTTAGTAATTTTTTGCTTCGTAAAGATGTCACCGGTCCCTTACATAAGCTGAAGACACTATCTATATTCTAGGCACTAATTTATTAATGTGACTGCGATATATGCACTCAATATCTTGTTCAACTCACTTGCATTCGTTATGCGTACAACAGTAGGAGACTCTGTGTCCTGTTCATGAACAGTTACATTTTTCTGTCCACAGAAATTTGCAGCTGTGATATCGTTTTGTACTATTGCCAATCCCAGTATTTTCTTCACATCGCGTCTAAAGCGTGTACTTCAAAACACGGAAAATCCACGGCGCTGTTTAACTTCTCAGGCTAATAATTGCCGCGTAAATTAACGAGAGGAGAGTTGTGCATAACGCGAGCAAAAGGCCCTGCTGTATTAGAGAGTAGGTGAAAATATTGAAAAGATACCACCAAAGAGAATCTTTGGAGGTACTATACCCAAAATCTGCTGTGAATATAGCTGCTGTGACTATTTGCAAGAACACTGTAACACTCAGCACACTTCAGAAACGGAAGTATTGCGCAAACGCAGAACATCACCGAGCACAGCACAGCGCATCACCAACTATCCTCCAAACATGTGGTACTAGTCTACGACCGCACTTTACCATGCAGTTTGTACATTTGTCAGTACTTTTTTCGATTGATGTGTGGAACTGTGTGGGATAAACTTCGCGCTTTTCCTGTCGTATGCACCACGACACGATGCAGGGAAAACTGATTTACCGCAAGAAGCAATGGGCAATCTCGTGACGTGGGATGCAAAGCTCAGTCCAGGAAACATTTTTTTTAATGCGAAAGTGCCGGGGTCCACCATGAATATGTGACATATTTCTGACATGAAAAAGATGTTCTAAAATGTTTATCAACCAAGTGCAAAAAAAACGAGAAGGAAATGTTTCGAATTGGGGCGTCGAACCAGCGACCTCGTGCTTTTCAGCGCGCGGCGCTACCACCAAGCCTCCTAGCGACCTTTCTGGAAGATGTTAGCGGCGAGCAATGTATATACACTATGTACCCCTGCTGGTTCTCAGAGCTCAGGCCCTTCAGCACGTTCTTGTCATCAGTAGGTGAGATGGCCCGACAAGCGAGCACCAGCGTGCGCGCTCTTAAGGTTGTTGTGCCCCGCCATTCCGCACATCGATGTGCTCGCGTGCCTCCACACTGCGTGATTAAAGTGCGTACAGACGCTATCTCTCATAGTGGCTTCTGGCGCTATCTGGCGTCGTGGAATCTCGGGATTCAAGCGCTCAGTACATTTTGTGCTTCCACCACAAGCTTGCTTTAAAGTTACAGTAGTTAACAAGAGCGTGAACGCCTTTCGCTCACTGACACTGCCGCACTTATAAAAGGGTCGCACTCCTCACACACGAAGAAGTAAGAATTGTGAGCCCTTTTCACGCTCACCTAGGTGTATACTTACCCGTTCGTTTTGTACGTTTTTTTCTTGGTTGAGCAGCGTACTTCGGGTATCAAGCTTGACAGGTGTTTCTCCACGCTCGTTCTGTGTACGCCCCTTTCGTGCTTGCTTTCTTCTTGAGGTATGTGCTACAAGTTTCAACATTCTTGTCGTTCTTCGTGTGAAATTGCAATTTGTTATTTCACCATTCATTCCTTAGCCCTTGTGGAGAAACAATGAACGACGAAAGCTGAACCACCTCTGCGAAGACACCTTCCACTTTCTTGTTATACCAACCGATTCTCAAAAAGGAGAATCAATCACGTTTTTTTTTATTGTTGTTTGGACAAGTTCATTTTCTTCACACAAGATGTCCAGATGACCTAGTCTAAAAACTTGGCTGGTCTTCTTTGAGTGGCCGGATAACGCCTTTGGCTTTTGTATCAAGGAAACTTGAAGTTGGCCGACAGAAAGGCAAAAAGCTTATTGAAGGCTGGAACGGTAAATTGAATATTGGGTATCAGTAAAACTGTGTCAAAATCGATAGATACTCGTATTTGTATTCAAAGCACCTCGTGTGCCCTATTAGTTGCATTCTTTCCCACTGCTGTCTTTTTCAGGGTGACTCAGGAGGACCGGTTACCGCATGGCAACAAGTCAACAAAGCCACCAGATTCGTCCTAGTTGGCCTGGTGTCTTTCGCGTATGGGTGTAGCGGAAATGGAAGCTTTAACATTCACACCCGTGTGTCGCACTTCGTGAAGTGGATCAACACCACGATTATCAAGGAAACTCAGCAAAAAGCGTATTCAAGGGAAGCAATGTGCATGTAGATATGGTCGGCAGATATGTAGATATGTGCTGATAGGTCGAGTATGAGTGTAAATAAATTTGGTAGATTGAAATGCAACATTGCATTGGTACCACGTGTACCTGTTTGGACTACCTACCTACCTACCTACCTACCTACCTACCTACCTACCTACCTACCTACCTACCTACCTACCTACCTACCTACCTACCTACCTACCTACCTACCCACCCACCCACCCACCCACCCACCCACCCACCCACCTACCTACCTACCTACCTACCTACCTACCTACCTACCTACCTACCTACCTACCTACCTACCTACCTACCTACCTACCTACCTACCTACCTACCTACCTACCTACCTACCTACTACGACCTTCTGCTCTCGCGGTATCATGCAGTCGATTTTATATGCGAAGTACTTTAGAAGAGCCGGCTGTCCTTTTCTGTCAGCGTCACTTGGGATAACGCAGCTGAAACAATATACACCATAGCAATGTGTTGCCCATGCTACAGAGAATTTCAACGCAGGCGAAACCGCATACAGCATCAGAGGAATCTAGAGCACATTATTTACGTGCTTGCACCAGAGAGAAGACATCCTCCTGTTAATCTCAAAGCTCATTGATGTTGATAATAACACAGGCAACAACCACATACGGCTGAGGCATCTGCAGCACAATGAGCGCTCACCCGTGCCCAAAATAACCTGATTCCCCTTCTTCTTCTAGCACCTTAACGATAATATTAGGTGCTTATCATTGTATAAAAAACGCCTGTGAAAGTGGAAAAAAAGAAGGATCAAGTGGGTAAGAAAGAGGGAGAAAAGGAAAAATATGAAGAAACAAATAAATAACTAGATACAAAGACGTAACACTGAAGAAACAAATAAATAACTAGATACGAAGACGTAACACTCTAAAAAGACAGAGAACAGGGAAGAAAGAGAAAGCTGAAGAAAAACAAATAGAGAATTTCACCAAGCCTCGCACTTCCCTAAGAATTGACACTCCTAGAGCAAATTTGCACGATTGTTTTAGCGCGCGAACAAAGGAAAAAGTACAGGGTAGACAGAAAGAGTGCTGGAAAGACAGAAACACAGAGAAACAGAAAAACAGAAAGAGCGCTTCCAGTGCTTTTTCTTTATACCCTGTCTTTTTTTTCCTTTGTCCGCGTGCTGAAACAAGTTTTGCAAATATGACTACGCACCAACTAGCCCAAGCTTCCACTCTTGTAAGTTACATTCCTAGGGCAAAGTTGTCGTCAATGTGTCCTCTTGAGTTCGGACATTTGAGTACGCAGCATACTTTCTTCAAACCTATCTACGTTTGTGTCGGATACCGACGATGATTCAGTTTTTCTTATACAAATATTTCACTTGGTTAGATTATTGTCCTTCCCATAGTGCCTAAGTGAGTTTTGGAAATGAACGCGCTTGATGAAAGCACGTCCTCTATAGTTTGTGCACAGTAATTTATTGCCAGAATATATTTTTAAATGATCGAATATAGAAAATCTCGGTGTTTTATAATTTTGGTGTTTTAAATGGGTGAAAGAATGAAAGCTGCGGAATTCAACTCTTCAACCATTGGACTACGCTGGTGCTGCCAAACCTCGTGTTGTCTTGGAGGAGTACATCAGCACTCATGTTCGAGTTCTGCACACAAATATCCGCTAAATGTTGTCAGGCCTACTGTGAAATTATTCTGCGAGTATTGCGTAGAATACTTAAACATATCCTTAAAAGACAGCCAATAGATGCTTCATTCCGAAATGCACTAAAAATGACGTCCTTGAAAAGGCGCCTGCTACAGGCACAGATGCTCTATTACTAGTAAGCTCAGTCACATTTCCATGAATGATGGGACAAAATGTTACCATAAGCTCCCTGTATTCATTATATGAGAATGCTCACTATAAATACTTTAAATACGTGTTCATTTCTAGCGAATAATTCGCTTTCTTCGCATGTCGCGTTTTCTACCCTGTCTCCTTGAAGTTTTTTGAATGGCAATGCTAAGTTCGTTTAGCCCAATTCAAGAAATTGTTATCGTTTTCTCACTCGCCAAGCTTCATATGCTTGCCTTAAAAAAACTGCGATACGCTCTCGATCAATATTATATTACAGATTCGTGGCATGAAAGCATAAGCAGTTATTTCTGGAGCCGCAAATATGAGTAAAGGAACTCATGTTTGTTCAAAACTATGCTAACGCAATAAATGGCTGTTTTGAAAGGCAGGACTTCCAATAAGAAATCTACAATACTTGACTCTCCTGTCCAAAAGAACACTACAAAAACTTTCCTAGCTCTACATGCAAACACTTCAATATTGCTCTACGTGCATACGTCTTCCGAAGTGACATCGTACCTTTCTGTCACGATCGCACCTAATCTTTACCTTTGGTAACAAACGCCGTCTTTTTTACAGGCTGTGTGGCATTTCTATTGAGTGCATATGAATCTATTTATTCTCAAGAGGCGCTGTCAAATGAATATAATGGACTTCAAAGATGTCTTGCGTACATTGAGTTCGGGTTTAACTAAAGTTTTTCACGATTCATACACATGTGCCTGTGTATGTGCGCGCGCGGGTGTTACAGCGAGGAGATTTTCTATCTTCTGATCGAAAGTCATGTCTTCTAAATGTGTATGTATATGTATCGCGGGAATCTCTAGTTCAACATATATATATATATATATATATATATATATATATATATATATATATTATATATATATATATATATATATATATATATATATATAACAAAAAAGCATGTACAAGTACGAGAAAGCAATTCCTTTATGGATTACTCAAGTTTGCTCAAAATATGCTAACGGAATCAATAGCCGCTTTCAAGTGCATAAAGCCCTTCAAGTTTCCCACTGATTATATATGTGTATGGAGTGTGTGTCTCTGTGTGTGTGTTTTGCGTAGGTTGTTACAGGACATTAGGAAGCTTGCACCACAGTCGCATTCCCGTGTATCCAACTGAAGGTCCCTATTTTCATAACTTAGGAAGTAGTTACTGAGGGTCTTCAGACGACGGGAAAGGTGTCGCAAAAACACACACTTTCATGACGAGCAATGAGGCTCCTGGTTCTCAGGTAACAATTTCCATTTAATGAAAGGTATGAAATGGAAAGTTTCGGAATAATAATCTTGTTCCCACTTCACCACAAGTACAATATGTGGATATTCCTTATATATATATATATATATATATATATATATATATATATATATATATATATATATATAATATATATATATATATATATATATATATACCTATAAAGAATCTGTATTTTACGCAATGTAATGAGGGGCAGAAGCTAAATCCATAGTCATTTTCTTTCGTACAGCCCAAAATCTGGTGCTAGTAATTTCATGGTCTTAAGTTTCTGAGGATCAGAGCTTTGGAAACTTTCTCTAGGGCAGTGTAGGTGCACTGTTGTCAATGCACTTGTACGCCGCATGACCGTAGCCATGGTTTGTCAGATGCAGGCCACTCCGTTGGAAATTAGGTGCTTTAAAAAGCGCTTAATATAGGAAGTTCACCAATTGGTACATTTAGCTACAGAGATCATTCTTGAATATTATAACTGCACGGCATACCATCTTATTCCAAAGGGCGATCTCAAGGAACATAGTTCTTTTCTTTTCTCTTTTTTGTGAAATGAAAATGTCAGTACCGATACTCCCGTTTGAATGTCACTGGCAGGCAAAAAATTGTTTTTTTCTCCTCATATTGCCTTTTATTCCATTCGAGCTAAGTGACCTTTTGCCTTTTCTTTTCTCTTTATTTCCTCTAAGGATATGTGATCTGTAATAGTGCTGCAGTGTTGTAAGTAAAATCATGCCTAAGCACTCTTATATGTACAGTCGCGGCCACTGTAAGAGGGAACGCGGCGCGCGTGGCTGCTCTCTTCGGGCCACCAAGCGGGCGCCGCGCTAAGTATTGCGGCGCAAGCGCAATCAGCGCCAGAGGCGGAGTTGGCTGCGCGTCGTCTGCTACGTTGCCTCCCACTTCGCCGCACGCGCTCTGGTCCAAAATACTGTAGCTGTGGAGCTGGATAGAAAGTATTTGAACTGGGTTATCTCGGCGCGCTGTTCATGCTACACCCAGTATTCGGCTTCAAATTTCAGACGTTCGTTTTTGTCGCAAAATGAAGTTGGTCGCTGAAGTTTCACTTGGTTACAAAAGGAAATAGAGCACGTGGCATAAAATTAACAGAGTGTGCCTTGGATGCTTCGCATGTCAAACAGCGCCTTTAGGCGACGAAAGTTACGCCCACTTTTGATAAAACTCTGCTCGTTATGAGTTTAAAAGAGGCTGCATGTGTTCTTAGTGTGGCATTTCGTCAAAGCAATACCTTCTGGCATGGCCAGAGTTCCTGAGAGTGAGCGCTGGGAAATCGTCGAGCTCTATTTCAAGGGTAGGTCACAGCGAAAAATCGCCGAAGGGACGGGAAGAACGCTCAAGACAGTCAACAGGATCGTAAGAGCATTTAAATCTTGCCGCCGGATCAAGGATGCTCCACGGAAGCCGAGGTCTCGAGTTACGACTGAACAAGAGGATACTTGTATCGTTGTGGCGGCAGCCGTGAAGCCAGGTCTCTCTGCTCAGCAAATCAAAAATACCCTCGACTTGAGAGCATCCGTGACAACGGTCAAGCGACGCCTCCGGGAAGCGGGTCTGAAGAGCAGGATTGCAGCCCAAAAGCCTCTTCTTCGCGCTCAGAACAAAGAAAAACGGCTGGAGTTTTCTCGACAGCATGCGCAACGTTCAACTGAGGAGTAGAAGCAAGTCGTCTTCACAGACGAGTGCACGTTCACTACATCGTGCGATCAGCAAGCCCGTATTTGGCGCCCTGACAACACCCGGTAAGCTACACGAGAATGTGTTTTTGGAAATGTGCTTTTTGTAAGAAAGAAATGTCCTTCCAGCATGGGCTTCCAATTTTGTACTGTGAATACGTTTAAATGGGTGTGTCATTCCGTTTGCACGCACACATCTAGAGACTCCCGGATGCTTTCGTTTTCATGATAATTATTGATTTTGAAGTTTAACGGCCGACGCTACACAGGCGATGCGATGCGTCGTAGGGGGGAGGGGAGGCGCTCCGGAATAATTTTGACCATGTAGGAATCATTAACGTGCACCCAAATTGTTTAGAAGAACGCAGTGACGACTTATGAGACTGCGGTTATTCGTAAAGGCATTTCAAACACTGCACGTTTAAACATAACTTGAACAAGTTCGTAACGGCTTCAGCTATCTGTACGTTTCCTTATTTTATGCGCTCACAATCGGTAGTCTAGACATCCAAATGTTCTTTTCTTTTTTTCCTTGATGCAGGTACCAGCCAAAGTTCTTACAAAGAATCTCGAAAAGCGGAATGTCAACTGTAGGTGTTTGGGGCATGATCACAAAAGACGGTCTCGGACCTCTTGTGAGAATCGACGGTAAGTTCACAGCGAACGAGTACTGCGACATTTTGACCACAGTGGCCCATCGCGAACATGCAAAGGAGCACTTCTCCGGGGCTGGTCCTGTATTCCAACACGACCGTTGGTCTGTGCACACTTCGAAGAAAGTTGAATCCCTACTACGCCAGCTCAACATCGCCGTTTTAGAGTGGCCGCCCCAGTCACCAGACTTCATTATTATTGAAAATATTTGGGGCCAAATGTAAGCGGCACTCGCATCCAAGCCCCTCCATGGAATGTCAAGGGACAGCCTTTGGAGAGCAGTCCACGCTGAATGAGAACGCCTTAAGCTGGATGCCACCCTTGTGGATTCGTTATACAGTTCCCTGCCACGTTGGATGGCTGCCGGGATTGCCTCCGGGGGAGATGCAACCAGGTATTCAAATTCGCCTTCGTCATTACTTCGGACATTGCACCCTGCTGCCTCGATTGTCTCCGAAAGGAAGGCGACCATCATCTAAGCTTCATTTGCAACCGTGGTCTTGGCTTCATCGTATATATAATAAATCTGAAGCACAGATTTATCAGTATCTCTTGTTTGTCGTGTGATTTTATTTACTTCCTTAGCATGCCATTTATGCAACCCACCCTCTGTGATCAAACGGAACATTTAAAGGTAAAAGGCGCAGTTAATATTTAGGCGTACAGCATGCCTGCGCGCTTTCATAACTGCTTTATAATAGTATCTATTGACGCGCCATTGCTACAGGGTTTGTGTATTCCAAAGCGCGCGCGCAATCGAGGTTTCGAGGCGAAGTGGGAGGCACCGTAGCAGACGACGCGCAGCTAACTCTGCCTGGGGCGCTTATTGCGCTTGCGCCGCAATAATTCACCCGGCGCCCGTCGTGGCGCTCCGTGGAGCGTGGTCACCCGCTCCGTGTTCCCTCTTACAGTGGCCGCGACTGTACATTCCATACAGAAGTCATTTTGTCACACGATGCAGTTGCACTTATCTAAAATGCTGCTACTAGGATGCAATAAACATCCAAGTTTGATTAAAAAAGCTTCACTCAGAAATCACGAAAGACCGTGGTGAATCAGCCAGAAGTGTCAATTATATAATTTCATTATCAGTATGATGCAGGATGACGCACTATTTCACCTTTGCTTTCACAGAAGTTACGCAAACTGTCGAAGAATTTAGGAAGTAGATACAGGAAATTTCTAGGTCGATGTATAAAGTGCATCTCGCACTCCAGTCGTTCTCACTGATTGCACACCAATTTTAACTATTACAATTAAAAGTGTGTTCATCGGCAATGATCGCAACCACCATTATGAGAGACAGTTTGCCTCATAATGGTGGACGTGGATGAGGATATGGCCGAGACGCCCACTGCGTCATTAGCTAAATGCCCTGTTAGTACGGCTTAGGCCGTACCTTCCACCTACCTGAGCAAAAATAAAACATTTCATAATGCGTGTATTATCTAAACTTAGTTGCGCACGGAAATTCGAAATACAAAAGGAAGGCACCTGAACACAGCGCACACAAACAACTGAAACTTCATTCAAGAAAACAGACGTATATATGCGGTTACGAGAGCACGTCCGGCAAAAGAAAATGATTAGATGAGCAGACAAATGGTATTATTGATGCGCTTCCAGAAAAGCTACCTCGGCGGGAAGTAACATAGCCGAGGGTTGCGCGACACATGCATCACCAGCTACCAGCTTTGTTGATGAGATGCGCCTCTTCGATTTCCTGCGCTACCTTGTCCCCGAATCTAGCTTAACTACCGTATCACCAGACAAGGCCACGCAGCCTTACTCTCTACAATGCAATATATTATAGCATGGTTATCCCTTCAGTAAGCTTTGTAATCTATAATTCTATTAGTAATACAACGCCCCATCTGTCCAAAATAGAACTTCCCACACGACAGCGGCGTGCCGTACACCACAGTGATGGTGTATTCAACCTCTTCGGCCCTGTGTCTGTCCTGGCAAGTACCCTTGCTATGCCGCTCACAACGATTCGCCTCGTAACTGCCGCGCAAATGCTGCCTCAACGGTTGCCGGCCGAAAAGACGGTGTGCCGTACACCACAGCGATGGTGCATGCAGTCGCTGTGGTGTACGGCAATCCGCTGTCATGGGAAAAGTTGTATTATGTGTTTCTTCAGCGTTTCGTAAAAAAATAAGGTACTCATCATATAGACTGCGTTTCATTGACTCCAGCATGAAACTACATGGATTCGACGCAGTCCTAATCAAAACCGAAAATAGGAGCCAGTTGCATAGCCAGAGGCCGGCACACTGAGCACGTGCATCTCCCTTCCCATCGCCCCCCCCCCCCCAAACTTTTTTCCATGGCATACAGGGCACGAAACAGCACTTGAACACATTCGCTTACCCTGCCACTTTATTATGAAGGTGGTGCCCGCCTACTCCTCCTCGGGCCAAAATTTCTGCCTACGTATCTTATAGACAAAATGGAATATGTACAATAAATTTGAAGGCTCTAAGTGTGGTTACCACGAAAAAGAAAGAGTTTTTTTTTCGTTCATTTTTCACTTCATGTCGCAGTAAACACAGAGTGTAGCAACATAAACTCCTCAGGTAAAAAAAACTAAATAGTGCCCTTTATCGTTTTTTTAATGACCGCCTATTCGATTAATTTCAATTGACTGGGGAGCTCAGGACTGTTGTACTGTGGATTAAAGATGTCGGTGAATTCCTCTGTTCTCTTCTGTAGTAGCCTTCATTTCAGTAAAAAGGTTGATGGATATAGCCCCCGGGTACGTGATTTCTGTCTTCTGCAGCTGAGAAAATAACAATGGTTATAAAGCCCAAATAAAAACAAAACTAAGATACCGAACAGTAATAAAGATAGCAAATAATGTAATACCTACTGTATTTAAATTTTTGTCATTTTTCATATATTATCGTTTGAATATTCACATTTCACAACAAGGTCACATCTGAATGTCTTGTGCATGGCCATAAATTAAAAAAATGCGTTGATTATTGAACAGTACCTCTCGTTTGTCAATATAAAAAGCTTATCTAATAAACTTGAACATCAGTAATTTTTTAAAAGCGCTCCAATCATCTATCTCATAATCAGTGGTGCTTCAATCTTACCACATAGCAACGTAATCAATGGAAAACTAATAATTTAGAACACCACTGGCCTATGGCCCATTTTATTAGGTATGCTTGAAGATGTATGTAGCGCAAAACAATTGTCCATTCACCACGCAAGCTACCTCAAAGAAACGCGTACGAACAGTAAAAAATAACTATTAAATCCCAAGTGAGCAAACATCGGTTTAACGAATACTGTTATTTTTGAACAGTGAATTTAAAGATCATCCACGGTTGTTTTTCCACGCATTTCATGCAAAAAATCTTTCAGCTAAACGAATTTGTGAATACTGAATATTTGAGTTAAACTTTTTGTGCGGACCCATTCCTATTTTTGAGATTATTCCAATGAAGTTTGATAACAGTCTTTAGCACTGACTTAGCCACTACGCGCCACCCCCAAATCGCTCATCTATCGGCTGTGGTGCAACATCACTTGTGCATACAGCGCCACCGCGGCAAAGTGGTTGTGCGGTGGATGAAAGCTTGCCACTTTCGCTTCGGTACTTGCGCAGACCAATTGGATTTAGAAATTGGTGCTGGTTGTTGCCCAGAACAAAAAAAAAAGGGTGTGACAAGTTTCATTAGCTGAACAACGTTAAGTTATTGAATCACGGCTGAGCCAGTAGGATATATTAGAAAGTTTTGAAGTTTAGTGATACAGCAGCGAGCTGTGCCAGAGGCAGGGCATAAAATCGTACACTCTGTGGAGAACTGTATCTTTTGACTCCCCCTCCCCCTTTCCATGTGTAGGGTAGCAAACTGGACGCATAGTCTAGTTACCCTCCCTACCTATTCTACATTCCTTCTCTCTCTCTGTATGTTTTCTTGTGATCTGCCAGTCCAATTGAAAATTTCAGAACATTTTCACAACTAATTGTGTTTCACGCTTCTAACTTGATATTCACTACGTCTAGTATAGTTCAGTATTTCAGGGAATATTCAGCATACTGAACTTTCAGTTACGTGAGTTTTTTCGCATTCCTTGAGGTTCACATAAGTGAGAGTTCACTGTAAAACGTAAAAACAAAAGGTGGACTAAAAGGCGCACCTATAGGTGCACACGTACTAAGGATTAACAATTTACAACGTGGGAGTTTGTCTCTACAACGTACAAACCAGCGACGACGGACGCTATACTGCTCGCGTGACGGCTAGTGTTACGCTGCGAGTAAAACAGTGTTTCACAAACCACTCACAGACCACCACTGTCCACCTATAC